AAAAATCCTACAAAAAGCACAATTTCCAAATCTTTCCAAATTACAGAAGAATATCTATAACATCAATACAAGACTATTGTCCTATAGAAATCAAATCAAATCAAGTCCTGATAATTTTCTATTCGATTAAAATCGCGTAGAATCAATTCCGACCGGTAAAATCTTCGTAGAATACAGTCAAATCGTGTACAATAATCATATCTATAACATACTAAAAGTTGTGCGGTGAAAGTTGTGTCAATAAGAAATCACGTCGAAAAGTCGATTACGAAAACACAAAACAAATCACAACTCGGTCAAAACTCAATATCTTTGAAAACAGAAATAGGGTTCGGAGTCCTTACCACGAGATCTTCACTTTTCCCAACAGCAGCGTCGGACGAAAAGCGCTCCGCGGCCTCCAAAACCAGGTTTCCTCTTTTTCCCTTTCTCTTTCTCTCTCCTCAAATCAGATATTTTATTTAAAAATGATTTTCTCTCTCATCAAAACGATCAGATTTTCATATATCATTTGTCTGATCGGCCCGGCCGATCGCCAAATCGTCCCGGGACGATCAGACCAGAAAAATCGTCCTGGACGGTTCCTAGAACTATCCTCAGGCCGATATTTTCTACAGTGCCGATCGGCCTGGACGATCTAAAATCGTCCTGGACGATCCTGAGAGAAAAAATCCAAATCAGAGAGGAACAGTAAGGGAACGAGGTCTCACAATCTCCCCACCTTAGAAAAATGTCGTCCCGACATTTCCCTACAGGTGCGAGACAAAAACAACGCAAAACGAAATCGATCTAAATCCAAATCCAAAACAAAACTCGTCGAAATCCATACAAACATACAATGCAATCAATCACATATCAATATGCATGATCAAATGTCAATATCAATCGGTTAGTCAAATCAATCTTACCAGTAGAACTTTAGAGCTAAGATCTGTTCACGAACAGGTCTCAAACATTCAATTTTTGAGCAAACTTCGAACATGCTGAAATATAGTAATACTATTTTGATTTAATAGGTAATTAATGAGTCATAAATATACTTAATTAGAGATTATTAATAAAGTCAGTGGGGGCACGTGCCTCCAGTGCCCCCATGCTGCATCCGCCCCTATATATATATATATGTGTGTGTGTGAACACTCTCACCATAATGTATCTCACATTAATTTGCTTTAGAAGTGTATAATGTTGTCATATAATATTATAAACATTTTGATCATATATATCTAGCATTTGCTTTGGAAGTTCATAATATTTGACCAAGTATATTCATATATGGATTCAATTATTTTGACCAGTCCAATGTTGAATATGCATGTTGGACATTGTTTATAATTATGCAATGCATTGAATATTAATTATATTCAATAATGATAAAGACTCACAAACCCAAATTAAATAGCAATAAAGACTTATTAATCCAAATTTAGTAATAATAAAAACTTTCCGACCAAAATAAAAAAATACAATAAATTTGAAAGGATCTTAGATTTATAATTTATTCTTCATCATTCAAAAAAAAAAACTTTGTAATATAGAACTCATTCGAACTTATTGTAGGAAAATCTAAATGATTTCTCTCTTTCATATCAACCATCGCTCTATATCTTCTCGCGGATAGCTCTCATAAATCAATTTAGAGTAACGTGTAGTTCACCACCGTCGTTCCGCCGTCGATAACGAAGTTATGCCCGCTTACAAAACCTGACTCGTCGGAGGCCAAGAACAGCACCGCCGCCGCCACGTCAGTCGCCTTCAGCACCGCCCCTTTGAGGTTCGCCCCAGCGCACGATTTCTCCTCCAGCTTCGCCGCATCCACCCCATACCCCCCGCATGTCAGCGGCGTCGCCAGCAAATACGGGGACACGCAATTCACCCTCACCCCTTTCCCACCAAGTTCCGCCGCCGCTGCCTTCGCAAGCCCCAAAACCGCGTGCTTTGCGGTCGTGTATGCCGCCGGCGCGAGCCCGCCGTGTATTGCCGCGACGCTTGCCGTGCATATGATAGACCCCCGCGTCCCTGCCGCCACCATCGCCCGTCCGGCGTGCTTGATGGCCAACGCTGTGCCGCGGACGTGGACGGCGAGAGTTTGATCTAGGCTTGCGGGGTCGAGGCCGAGGATTCCGGTGAGGGGGCCGGCCACGCCGGCGTTGCTGAACATGATGTCGAGGCGGCCGTAGGTGGTGATGGCGTGGTCGACGGCGGCGGCGAGGTGGAGTTCGTTGCGGACGTCGCAGTGGATGAAGGAGCAGCGGCCGGGAGGTGAGATGGAGGCGGCGACGAGGTGGCCGAGGGAATCGTTTATGTCGGCGATGATGACTGAGGCGCCGTGAGCGGAAAAGAGGCGCGTGGTGGTTTCGCCTATGCCGCTGGCTCCGCCGGTGATGATGGCTACTTTCCCCTCCAGCCTCAGATTGTTTGAAGCCATGTGTGAAATTGAAGTCATCAATGGGGAGAGTTTCGTTTGGTTTTTATGCAAAGTTGGGATCAGTATGTGCTATACGATAAATTTTTGTTCTTTATTTTAGCCAACGGAAAGGCCGGAAAAAATTAGCCAGTCAAGGGTTATTGCTTGTCAATAAGAGCAACTGGACAAATACTTGGTCACCAATAGTCTTCAATATAAAACTCAATAAATGCCACCAAACTTGACCAAGCTTGAGGCGGCGGAGAAATTATTAGGTGCGGAGTCAGAACATAGAGATACGTCTGGATTCCAATAAAATATTAATACGTGGAGTGAACACATGCATATTCAATTGGATTTACTTTTTATTTTATATATTTAATGTGTCTGCAGAACTTTAAGCAAAGCGCATCAAAAGCACAACCAAAGTACAGGTAAAAAGAAGTAAAAAAGCGCAACAAAAGAACAGTCAAAGTGCAAGTATTTTTTTTTTTAATCAAAGTGCAAGTAAAGCACATATAAATCACACAAAAAAGTGGAACCAAAGTGCACTTCACATGTCAAATTTTAAGTACATATCCGCACGTTTCTCTACGTCCGAACTATGCACTTAATAATTTCTCCTAGCAACCAATTTTGCCACAATTAAACTTTAGTATGCAAAGTTTATTATATTTCTTAGTTGTAGTCATTCATGTAATAGTGACCTTTGACCTAAACATATAGATAATAGAAATTTGGATTAATTTTTATGTATGATTATACAAGTTTAATTATAATTAAAATAACTAATATAAATTAATGATAACTAATCCTATGATTAATGAAAGGCTAAAATAGTAAGAGATTGCCATATGGCATGGGGAACGCATGTCGGGTGCTAGTTTAGTGGCAAGAAATGTGGCTTAGTGGCAACTGGCAGCAGATGAGTCAAAAGAAGATAAACTTATGGAGATGGTTTTTAGAGGAGAAGCTAGGAAAAGTAGGGAGAATTCTATAGAAATTAAGGAGAATGGAAAAAGAATGCTAAGGTTTTTATTAAAGGCCTATGGAGGGCAATTTATTGAAGATTTTCATTCGATTAAAAACTGCTTTAAGAAGACTTTGTTTGAGACGATTTTTTTATTGCTTCTTAAAATCGAGTTTTAGTACAAAAATTAAATGAGGCCTTAGACTTCCTTTGGGTTAGCTTTCTTAATGGTTTAGCAGCTTTCTAGTACAAAAATTTATTGTTAAAATTTTTTTTAGAAAGTAGAGAAAAAGCCTTTCCAAAAGAAGCCTTAGGCTTGTTTTGGGGCGGCTTTCTTACTGCTTCTTAAAATAGTCTTGTAGTATAAAAATTAAATTTTTTGCACTAAAAATCTATTTTAAAAAGTAATAAAAAAACCGTTCCAAACAAAGCCTTAGTCTATGTTAAGAAAGATAGAAGTAGACCTAAAAAGACTTGATTAGAAAGTATTAGAAATAATATTTTCTTATTAGATTTAAATTTGACTCTTAATAAGATAAAATGAAAATAAATGACTTATCCAGTCAACCCCATATAATGAGATAAATAATTGATGATATTGTTATCATCGTTTTCAATCAAGAGTACAAGAACAAATATGGCAATACTCTCAAATCATACACAAAAGATTTTTACTTAATTAGTTTCAAAAGTGTCTGAAGTTAGCTTAAATGGCATATTCTATCATCTTAGGTTTCGTTTGAGACAACTTTCTTCCTACTTCTCAAAGCTGAATTTTTGTACAAAAATTAAATCGCTTAATTAAGAAGCAGTGATGTAGACATCTTAGTTATAATATGCTTAAGGACTAACATACCGTTTTTTTTTTTCTTATAATTTTTATTTGTATTTGTAGCTTTCCACTACCAAATTACCTTTTTAGTTACAATAGTGCAAAACTACCTATTTCTACAGTGTTCTTTTACAAAGTTACATATAGATGATGTTGTTGCATCATGTAGTATTCACGGCGGTAGAGAAATATTTTATTTAACGTCTTAATTTTGTACGAAAATCCACCACGCAATCAGATAAGAGAGATGGTGTAGCCTTTATGAGATACCAAGATTTTTACGTGGAAAACCTCTGAAAAGGGAGAAAAATCACGGGGCCTAGCCTAGTTTGAATGAATCCATTATTATTTGCAGTCGATTACAATTGAGGCCCTTCCTTAAGGGGAAGGCCTTGGCTTGATATACATTATATGAAGTACATAATGGGAATATAAAGAGTCACTGTGGACGTGTTCATTTGGTCGGAAGGACCATAGTTGATGGGCGACATAAGTCAGAAGGACCGTAGTCGAAGGCGACAGAGGTTGGTAGCATCGTAATTGGCGGGTGATGTAAGTCGGCAGCACCGTAGTCAGTGGGCTACAAAAGTCAGAAGGACCGTAGTCGGCAGGCGACAGAGGTCAGAAGGACCTTAGTCAATGGGTAGAAGTCTAACTGAATTTTGTTATCGGACGTAAGTCTAGCATTCGATAGGAATCCAGTGACGGACGGAAGTCCGGCGTCGGGTAGAAGTCTGACGTCAGTCGGCAGTCGGGGAGAACTCCGACGTTGGATGATATTCGGGCAAAACTCTAGAGTCACTTGGAGATTAGATGGAATTACAGCATCACTTGGAGATCGAGCAAATTTCCTTTGTCACTGGAAAGTCGGGCGGAATTCCGGCGTCACTTAGAAGTCGTGCGGAATTCTGGCGTCACTTGGGCATCGAGCAGAACTTCGACGGTGGTCGAGGAGGAGTTTCTTCCCTCCTACCCTTCTCTTCTTTTCTTCTTTCTTGCTTGGGTCCCCTCTCAAGAGAAATGATGGATTATTTATAGTTTTTTGAGGATGTCATGACCCGTAAATATAAGGAAGATCAAGGGTGGAGTGTTTTGAATGGACGTCCGATATTGAATCCCTTGATCATGAATCGTTCGTAAGACATGTGAAGGTCTTAATGATATTGTAATCCAAATCATGGATTGAACCTTTTGAATGTGCTTCGGGTCTTTGATTTGGACCCATTTAGGCTCGGATCGAGTAAAATTTGATGTCGTTGGGTTTGTATTTCCGAGACAATCAGTTCAACTATAAGTTTGCTGAAATTGGAGTTCAGATGATCATAGATTTAATTTTTGAAGTTTCCAACTTGATTTTTGCCTCGAGATTTGTGCCCGATCAAGATAATTTTTTGATGATATATCAGATGTAAAGAGTCTTGGGGCTCAATTATTGATGAAATATTACTCTCTTCGAAGTCTTTGAAGCTTAGTGCTTGTGTTTGTTTTCTAAATTGGAAATTCCTTCTTGCATCATCTTCTTCCAACAATCCAACGATAATCGCCCCACATCAAGCACACTACTAATAAATAAGGTAATCGTAGCACAAATTTTGAGCTATCGCGGTGGTTTTAACCGCCACTATTTTCTTTGCAGCGGTTCTAAAACCGCTACCAATACGCTGTAATTACTATGCGCTGCAATGACATTCCACAGCGATTTAAGGACCGACGGAGTAGATTTGATGAAGTGCTGGATTTAGCAGCAGTTATAACCGCCACAAAAGTCCAGATTTGCAGTGGTTATAACCGTTGCTAAAGGGTAGAATAGATTAAAAAAAATATAATGCTAAAAAAAAATTTTGTAAAAAATGAATCAAATTATAAATATCAATAAATTACTACACAAATATAAATTGAGTAAATATTAACAACATATAAATCTACAGATACTTTAGGAACAAGTAACATGAATGTATAAAATAGTATAAGTGACAAAAGAAACATTCATGTATGCTACTTATTCCAGGAATCAAAGAAGGCCGTTTCAGTGGATCCTATTTTATAGAAAATATTAAAAAAATGTAACCGCCTAGAGCAAAATTCAAAATATCCTTTATGATTTAGGACAAAAAATTCTAGCATCTGCCATCAAATGATTCAAACTAATTACTAAATGTTAAAAAGAGGCATGAAAAAATATGCAATTATTAGATCTACAAACTAAGCAAGAAAACAGAAGAAAAAAAAAAGATGATGTTTGTTGAGTATTACCGCAATTGTTTCATCATAAGCATTGGATGACGAGATCGCCTTCTGAAAATCTGTCATAAATAAGATAGAAAACTCAACACCAAAATGATTAAACAGATAATGAAGCATGTAAATGCTGATGATGAATTACTTTTTCATTCACACAATTTCCAATTTTAGAAGTAAAGAAATTCCAAACATTTTTCAATAACAAAGTTATCACTAAAGGAATCTTCCAGCTTCAAGGTATTGCATTATTTGGGTATCAAGATCCATAATTAGCTTAAGAGTTCTCAACAAATGAGGGTTTTGGTAATCTCATTGGATATCATACTAACCTCGAAAGAGATCTACGTAGAATAATTTCCTTCTACACCCACTAATACCGACATCACGTTCCTCGATTAGCACCTCCCTAAAACAGTCAAACAACTCATTTAGCTCTTCTC